ATATATATATATATATACATACATACATATATATGTGTGTGTGTATATATATATATATACACACACATATACACATACATATATATTATAATATAAATTATTATATACAATTCGTTATATAACCAAACTCACTGTGATAATGTAAGTAGTTAGAGGCAGTAAAACAAATACTACCATGAAGAATAAATACTTTACAATATTATTATCACTGTTTTCACTCCTTTTTTTGCAATAGAGACAAGACTGTGGTATTTTTACATTATGGTAATGAGCAATGAGGTGTGGGGTTCATTTAAAGCAGTAGCTAATTGTGGGATCTTTCTGCCTCTCTCAACCTCTCCTCAAAGCTGTCTGCCTCAGCCACATGATGTATACTAAGCTTCTTGCTGGCCAAACCCACTGTTTCTAAAAATAAATGCTATATCCATCCCGGACAGAGTGAGTGAGTGTCTGTTTGATAGAAAGAGAGAAAAAGAGATGGGGAGAGACACAACCCCTCTGTAAAGCAAATATACATTCAAACGCAAAGCAAACCACCAAATAGAGCAATACTCTAAGATTAAATGACATTATTTGTTGCATGAAGTTGCACTAAAAAAAGATTTATATATACAAATCATAGAGTCATGCATTTTAAATGTAAAAATATATCCTCAACACTCTTCTAACGTTGATGCATATGAGAAAATGTTCCCAATAAGAGTATTTGGATTAGAGATACTGTAATCTCTGCACAGATTTCAGATAATACATGTTTATTCACCCACTGCGCTCATCTGTGGCGACGAGCCTCTGCACAACCAGCATGTGTGCATGTGTGTGATTTCTTGGACTTGGATTATTTCTGACCTGTGTACAAACACAGCTCAGTGTTTCCTGCTGCAATATTATCAAGCCTCTCTGCTGTAGATAAAGAGATCACCAGTGAATTTGCCTGTGAATCCCATTGACTATTTATGGCAATTTAACAAAACTGTTACACAATAAATAATAAGCTGTGGAATTTTAATGGAATGGAAGTTCCATTTATCTCAACGTTTGGTCAAAACAGCGAGTATTATGACCAACAGTTCAGTTCTTTTAAACAGTTCAGACCATTTCATACTACAAATTTGAGATAATTTGTTTGCCAACATGGGAACAGTGTATAAGATCCAAACCTGGCTGTGACCCTTTTATTGTCAGTTGGCATGTGATTTATTAGTGGGGATGCATACAGGGGTCCCAAATAAAGTTTTTGGACACTTGTTTGGTCATTTATTTTAATGAAAGATAGCACCTTTCAAGCAAAACATATCACAAATAGAGGACAATGGAAATACTGTTCAAATGATATGTAAAAATGAAATTTAAGACACTTTGTGGCCTTCAAATGTTAGTGTAACATTGTTACCAAGACACTGTGTACTTGAAAAATACATAGAGTGAGAGTGAGAGAGAGAGAGAGATAGTAATATATAGTCATTTATTGTTTTATGTATTATATTTATTATTTTATACATTATAAATATATACATTAAAATTACATTATATAAATATATAATTTATCATAAATGTTTTGAATAATAGATCATAAATTAAATATATATATATTATATTTTTATTTATTATATATTTATTTAAATACATCATATTATTTTATATTAACATATATTGTTTTATATATTTTATCATTATTATTATTATTCTTTAAAACAAAAAAAATGTATTTGAGCACTTTCTGTGATCTGATGAACTACACCTATGGATTTATCTACTATGACACTTGAAAACGTCCAACATAAATTGTTTTCAGATACAATTTGGTTTTATCATTTAAAAACCAAAAATAATTTAAAATATATCTTTTATTTATCAGCAAATATGCATGAAGCAATGCATTCATCACATTATAAATAAGGTCAAGAGAGTCCACTATTGAAAGTCAGCTAAAATATTTGTGCTCCCTGCTCATTAAAACTAACTTAGCACTGAAAATGCTGTATTGCTGTCTAACTCAAATAACATTTGAGTTTCCTTGTCTGAGGCAAGGAGGGTAACATAGGATCATATGAGGTGGGGTACATCTAATCAGGAAACCCAGAGGCTGTGGTCCGGGGGGAAGGGGGTTGTTTGGGGTAATTATGCTGCCCTCACAGTGGCAGATGGTTTGGGAGGGGAACCGGGAAGAAGGTTGATGTAAGTAACAAAGCCAAAACTGGTCTGAAGCAGGATATTAGCTACAAGAAAAATTAAAGACTGTTTCCTTTGCTCCCTCTCTCTCTTTAGCTGACTAGATTCCCCGTAAAATAGTAAAAACCTCTTTGACCATCAAACTGATTCAGGTATGAACAATGGAGGATCAAGAGGATGAGTGTATTTGATTAAATAGCACCTCACAATGAGATTAAACGGGGGAGGCTCGTGTGCCTGATGCAGATTTGCAGAAGGGGAATGTTTTTCAGGACGTAATTGGCCTATGTACTTCTTGGTTCAAGCTGGGCCATTAATCTGAGGGTTACATTGGGAGGGTTAACTGCAAGGTTAAAACCATTAGAAGGTCTGTACCATCTGCACTGAGCTCATAACAGAATAAGGCCAATGAAGAGAATTGAGGGGGTGCCTGAATGTACCCTGGCCAATCTGTGTGTGTATACATGCATGATGAAAGCACTCAGAGCAATAGATTCAGACCCTCCTCCTGGCAAACAGCCACACACGCTCTGTCCGAAACAAACGGCTGAAGCATGCTGAATGGAAATGAGCATTTTAGGCTTTGGGTAACACACCTGCCCTTTTAAAATGTTGGAGCAGCTGGATTACCACTGTGCTGCTTATCCAAATGCTAAGCTGATATCAACAACACAGGCCACCTGCGGCACAGACGTTACCCATGCACTTTTTAATCTACCATGGCAACAAGGTGCCAAGCATCGAGAAAGGCCACTGTAATTGAACACACTGCCAGGTGCATCACCTTTCCAGGCCGTCTGAGAGAATCTAATCAGGATTTTCAAACACATTTGGAGTTTATAGATTGTAAAATGTGTTGGGTTTGTTACTATGTATACACATGCATAAGTTGTTTAAGAATCTCATATAGTGCTCATGTTAAAGATGAACATTAATTAGGCATTGACATTGTCTAAAGTGGAAAATTTAATGTTACTACTCTTTCAAAAAGTAGGTAAAATAGTGCAGTGATGTTACTGAAGATAACTATATACAATGATATTTACATGACACTCCAGGATAAAAGAATACAATTGTATTACTATGGTACATGTCCAAAAATAAAACATTTTGGGATGAACAGAACATGCCAAACTCATTGTGGTTAGCACACAGTATAGCTCAACTCATTCAGTTTAGCTGGGATGAATTTGACCACAGTCTGAAGTGTCATTCATTGGGCCTATAATGCATTAAACTGTGAATGTCTGAGGAAATGTTAATGTAACCAATTATCCCATTGAATTGAATGGTTTGGTTTACAGTGAAATTGTCGTGTTTTACGACCCAATGTGTGTAAGCTTCCAACGTGTGCCAACTTTTTTTATTATTATTAATAATAATAATCTTTTTCTATACTTTCACTGTTCACAGCTTGTACTATTCTGGTCGATGTTTAAAACGTTGTATTGCTAGAACTTATCGTGTTATTGCCTTCTTAAGGTGACTCGCTTGAGTATTTGCAAGTCGTTTTCGATTAAAGCGTCTGCTAAACGAATACATTTAAACGTAAAATGTAGTCATGTGTACTGAAGTTGTAGGCTGTATTTTGATCGGTTTGCGCCATCTAGTTGTCATTGAATTATAGCCACCAAAGGAAGAATCTGTATGTGACTCTGCAGTCACACTTTCTTTTTTAGTGCCATAAAACTATAAAATATAGTAAAAATGATTTTATTAATCGATTCACATATCAAAAGAAGGTCAGATCAAATGTAAAGAAGATCAAATCCAAGTGTACTGGTCTGGAAGAGGTCTGTCATCTGAGGTCTCGCTCTCTCTCGCTCTCTCTCTCTCTCTCTCTCTCCCTCTCTCTCTCTCTCTCTCTCTCTCTCTCGGTGTGTGTAGTTTTTAAAAGAAGATAAAAAATAAAGTAACAGTACTTTATTTCACAGATACTGTGAAATATAATTAGTATTTAAAAGGACTGTTAATATATATATATATATATATATATATATATTTTTTTTTTTTCAAATGTAGTATAAGGTAGATTTGTATAAATATAGTATAAATGTTATTCCTGTGATGCAAAGCTGAATTTTCAGCATCATTGCTCAAGCCTTCAGTGTCACATTTGATGCTCAATATATCTCTTTTCTTTTTCTTTTTTTGTAATTCTCATTATCTGGGGTGCAAATGGTGAGTAAAAACAAACTATAATACAGTGAGTACTTGAAGTCTTTGTATAGCCTATGTGAATATGTAATATAAACAGAAATGTAGTGTTGTTGTACATTACAACACTAGTGTGCGGTAAAAAACTGTAATCGATCTAATATTTTTGTATTGCAAGAGAAAAAAAAAGAGCAACAACAAACAGCACTGCATTAAGATACAATAACATAAAAGGAATAAAAAAAGAAAAAATACAGTAACACCTCAATCAGTAAAAAAATATAATCATAAACATTAAGAAACGTGTTATTCTTATTGTTATCAATGAGTTTAAGAGATAATAATAAGCGAAATCTCAGCAAGAAAGACATCAAACCTAGGTAAAATCTTAAGAAATTTGTTTTTGTGAATAAAAAATTTACAATGCAAAACAAAAAAAATTAACAACAATTCATTAAATATTCCATGGATTAAAATATTCGAATTATTCCAAAGAATTTCTTTGTGGGGAGAAAAGTTGTGCACATAACACGATTTCCAACCAAGTAAAGCCTGTTGGTGAAAATTATAGAACTGTAATCAATCTAATATGCACGCGTGCAGTCACGAACATGACGAACATCCTCGAGACGTAAACAACGCGCGCGGACGCGGGGAATTATGGGATATCTTCCCTCGGCGGCGCGGTGCCGCCATGTCTCCTGAAGATAAACGGCGGCTAATCGTTTTCTCCGCTGTGGTGTTCTCTTTATTCCTCCTTTTACTCGTGTTGAGCTACATACCAGCTTATTTATACATACTTTTGATCTGTGTTGTGTCTTGTGTCGTTTATTTTCACAAAGCGGAGGAGTTGCAGCTCTTCGAGAGACTAGGCCTCAATCCTCGACGTGGACTGAGCGTCCCGTCGGCTCTGCTGCGCTGGTTACCGGGCAGGACTTTGAGCGGAGTCCCGGCCGCCGGCAGAAACAAGATACGTAAAAGTGATGCTAGAAATTCCTTCGCGTCACCCAGCGATAGACACTTTGCGGGCTCGTATTATAGAAGAGACCACACGCTCAGTGAGTCGGTGTTCAGCCCTCGGGATATACTCATGGGAAGTTACCTCGCCAAGACTGAAGGAAGCCCCTCCGCAGCGGTGAGGCCCACTGGAGGCTCGGGGGCTTTCATGCACCCCAGAGATCAGCTCCGGGAGAGACTCGCCCGACCTAATCATGCCGTGCACACTCCTAACAAAAGACTGTCATTCGGGTAAACACTAACGTTAAATGCTGTCTTGTCACTTTATGCCTGCATTCTCTATTTAAGCTCACGTCTTTTAATAGGAATGCATCAGAGATTCTACTGTTTACGCTCTAATATAACATATCTAGCGTCTATCAGGATCGTGTTTGTACACGTTTGGCTTTCTCGGTTGTTCTAACACGTACGTTGTCCCAGTTTTCCCTCCATGATTTGAAAATGTGGGAGTTCCTGGAGCTGGTCAGGCGCACTGCTCCTCCTACACCAGTTTGGACGCCTGACACTACACGTGTAGGGTTGCATAAAGGTTTCCACATAACATAAAACTGCATTTTGACAGCTTTGTTGTCGCGCTTGCACTGCAAATGTCTTATTTCGGCTGATACTTGAAATTGGAAACACAATGGATTTATTTTCTTTATTCAAGTGATGACTTTTTCATAGTTAGTATATACACTGTTACTGAAGTTTTGAATTTTAATGTTTGTTTATAATCCTCCTAATTTAACACTTAACTCATTTTAGTTATTTTGGAATTTGTCACCATGCTGAACAGTCTACTTTTCAGCTTAAGGTTTTTTTGTTGTTGTTGTTTTTTTTGGCAAGCTTCTTTCCTGTTGTTCTAAACCTATGACTTACTGACTTCAGAGAAACACAAAAATGAGGTGTTTAGAAGGTGGTTCGTTTCTATGTTTCTTTCTTTAAAAGCAGTGTCTTAAGCTCACCAAGGCTGCTTTTGAAAAAAAAAAAAAAAAGAACACTGTAATATTGGTAAAATATTGCAGTTTAAAACAACCCTTTTCTATGTGAATATATTTAAAAATGGAATTTATTCCTGTGGTGGCAAAGCTGAATTTTCAGCAGTCATTACTCCAGTGTTCACATGACTCTTCAGAAATCATTCTAATATATTGATTTGGTGGTCAATTAACTTTTCTTATCATTAATGTTGAAAACATTTGTTGTTGCTTAATATTTTTGTGGGAACGAAAAAAAAATCAGGATTTTTTATGTGTAGAAAGTTTAAAAGAACAGCATTTATTTGAAATGGCCGTCTTTTGTAACAAATGTATTTTATTGCATCCTTACTTAATAAAAGTATTAATTTCTTTAATTTTTGCATTTAAAAAAAAATTTAATTTTCAAATCACTGTTTCCACAAAAATATTACTGAGCAGATCAAGTGTTTTCAACATTGATAATAAGCATATTTTTTGAGCACTAAATCAGCATGTTGTAAAAAATTATTTACATTATATTTTACAATTCTACTACTTAATAAACTTAATTTTTCATCAAATAAATGGTCAGTATAAGAAAGAAACCTCTTTTAAAAACATAAAATCATAAGTAAGGCAAGTTTAATTTTCATTTATTTATTTTTTTATGAGGGTGTTTAAATTTTTGATAAAGATCTTTTCAATGCCATCAGGGGCACTGCAAGTCGGTTCACCATCACCCCCCAAAGACATTACCCCCTTCAGCAGACGGGAACATCTCCCATCGGAGTGATTCCACCTGCAAAATGGGATGGATTCTGTAAGAAGAATGTTCTCACCCAACGCAATTCACCTGCTGCTCACAGTCCGGTCACAGTGAAGATCGCCAAAACAGACCTCGCTCGATCATCTTTGTAAGTCGCTTCAAATTCTGTAGAGTGGATTAAATGCACTAGCATTAAATAGCTTTTGTTTTTGCCTGTAGTCTAATTAATTCCTATTTGGGGTTATTTCTCTCCTAAGACCTTGTCTATAGCTGCCACAGTTGCTTCAGGATTAAATTGCATTGTCAAGATGAATTTGCTTCGCTCATATGTAAACGCTACATTGTTTCTAGCTTCAATCACCTGAACTCCCCTGGAGCAGTCAAATCCCCAGGTATTGGAGCTCAGGCAGACCCCTGCTCCAGAGAAGCTGTTCTGAGTGTGCTCAGAGAGAGCAGGAAGAGGGAGGTTGATGAGGAGGACAAGAGTGCTTCCTCTGGGCAGAAGAGCAAAAGGAGGTATGTGATGGAAAGAAAGTGACCAAATGAAAGTCATCACACAATCTTATCCTCTTTGAGTTTGTTAGTTTGTAACTTTCCTTGTTATGTAGAATTTAGAAGATTTGCTGTTGGTTTTTGTAATTTCACCAAATAATTGTCTTGTTCTCATCAGGCGACATGACAGCAGTGGAAGTTCTCAGTCAGCATTTGAGCCACTTCTTGCAAATGGAGCTCCATCTCAGCTTGTGCCAAAGTAGGAGATTGTACACCTTCCACTGTAGTATCTGCCTCTACATCTGTTAAACGTTGAGTTTCATCACATTATCTCTGATTATGTGTCCTCTTCTCCTTAGACCTGGCAGTCTAAAGAGAGGGATGAACTCCTCTCTCAACGAAGAGTCCATTATGAAGCGGTCTCGCACTTCCTCCATCAGCTCTGTAAGTGGTGCTCCTGTTCCCAGTGGGGTGCCTGGATCTGTCCGAAATCCCATTCGCAGTTCCTACAGCTCTTCACAGGGTTATCCACAGGTATTTAATTTGGCCGTTTTCTTATAAGGAGCGTATAAAGATTTATAGTGTTGGAAATTGAGGGAATGCAATGATAAATTATTAAAATTGTTAGCTAGTGAACATATTGATTATTACTTACATTTATTTTTTTTTTGTACTGTTGTGTTTTGTATTCTTTGACTCAATTCCTTAAATTTTGTATTTCCAGAGAAGAGCAGCATCCAGTCTCAGTCTTTCTCCTTTCACAAGCCCAGGAGTATCTCGGTGTCAGACTCCAGAGCGAGCTGCCAAGAAAGCAAGGTAACCATCTTTAGATGTTCACTACCATTCACTGGTGTTGACAAGAAGTTTCTTGTGTTCATCAAGGCTGCATTTTTTGTTGTTGATTTATTTACTGTCACTGTAAAAAAGCAGGTTGAGTTAAAAATAGTTTATTTTGTGAAAGTGTGTCTCAAGATGTGCTATGTAAACACCTTTGCAAAATGTCTGCTCAAGGTCAGATGAGCACATAACTACTCTTGATTATACAGGGTCTGCTTAAGACATTCTCATGTTACTCTGTTCCTGAACTATTTTGTGTGCTGTAGGGAGGAAGATGCTACCTTACCAGGTTCTACATTCTTTATGAAAATGGATAAGGTGGCAACTGACCCTGCGCCTGCTACAAGTGAGAAACATGTATTAGTTTGTTCATATAATGTTTTTTTGGTTTATTAACTTGTTCAGTGCAACTTTATACAATATAGCAGCGGTGGCGAACTCCGGTCCTGGAGAGCCGCAGCCCTGCAGAATACAGCTCCAACCCTAATTAAAACTCACCTGCCTGTAGCTTTCTAGTAACCCTTCAGACCTTGATTAGCTTGTTCAGGTGTGTTTGATTAGGGTTGAAGGAAAACTCTGCAGGGCTGCGGCTGTCCAGGACCAACGTTTGCCACCCCTGCAATATAGCATTGATTAGTGGTATAAGTTCAAATTAAAGATTTAAAATTTTGTACCAGGAATGCTACAAAAATTCCATTTTGAATTTTTATTTGTACCAGCTAAACTTACTCCAAAATCTGAGGCACCTGTTGCAACATCGACATCTGACTCTGGAGGAAGCGGTTGCAAACGCAAGCGCAAAATCCAGCTGGTCACCACAAACAGAGGAGATCAGATTTCTTTGGTAAGTAACAAAGCTGCTATTGATGCACATTTCTACCAGACATTTGCATAATGAATGTTCATCACTGTAACATTGGGTCTGCAGCCACCACCTCCTGAACTTGGCTATACTATCACAGTGAAAGATCTAGATATGGAAAAGAAAGCAGCTCTCAGCCAGATACAGAAGGTCTTGGAGGAGCCTGGTATGTTGTCTTCACTCTCACCTGGATTGGCTATAAATACAATGAAATTCGTTCAGCTAATTCTGTTATATCTTTTATTTTTTCCAGAGCCAGAGATCCCTCCTCCTGCTTCTGAACCTACCCCAGCTCTGGCTCCCTCTTTAACCCTGTTCTCTCAGCCAGCACCAACCTCTTCATCTGGGACTGCACCTGCTGTGAGCTTCGCGCCCACTCTGATTTCTCTTTCCACACCTGTGCCTGAGACCACACCAGCCACTACTACAACTCCTGCTCCAACTATCGACCTCACCATCACTGCGCCCAGTGTGGCTAGTACTGCACCCCTGACTCTCACCTCAGCCCCCTCTGTCACTACCACCCCAGCTGCCCCAACTGCTCCATCTTCAAGCATCTCTAACCCTCTGCTGGAGTCCCTGAGAAACATGAAGAATAATCCGCTTCTCAATGCTCCCACTCTAATGGGCACTACCACTGCAGGTTTGTAAAAAAGATTTTACAGATTTGGGGTGATTACTACTATTATTATTATAATTCAGGATTGTTTGTTGAATGGAAAGTTTAAAAGAACACCCATTTATTTAAAATAATGTTTTCTTTTTCTTTAGATTAAAAATGTAATTAACATATTTGATGTCACATCAAGTGTTTTCTTTAAAGAAAATTATTATTAATAATAATAATCTTAATGACTCCAAACACTTGAACAGTATTTGTTTAAAATATAAAATATATTATTTCTTTTAAAAAATATATTTTATTAAATTTTTTAATACTGATATTGTATTTATTTTGGTACTGTTGTACACTTGATCATGCACTTTAACATGACCTTGTATGTCTTTGTCACCTTATACAGCTCCAGCAGTGTCTGTGTCCAGTCTTTCTACACCTGCTTCTGCCACAAACCCGAGCAGCGGAGTTGTCAAATCGGAGTCAGGCCCTACCGCTCTGCAGCCTTTATTCTCTACCCCATCCTCCATATCAACGCCTGCCTCCAAGCCAGCCACCTCTATGCCCTCTGCCTTCGCTCAGATCTTGGCCCAACCTCTTAAACCCCCATCAAGCATGCCATCCCTGGGCGGAGGAGGCAGCCTGTTCAGTTTGATTAAACCTGTGGCCACTCCTGCATCTGAGCCTCCTAAATCTACAGTCACTGTACTTACGACCACGGTCGCATCAGTCAATAGCATTAGCAACCCCCTGTCGTCTGGGTTTAAGCCCATTTTTGGTGCAGCAAGCACCACGCCTGCTTCCACAGCAGAGGTCAAACCCACCCAGCCAACCTTTAAGCCTTTATTTGGCACAGGAAGTGGCATTAGTACCTTCGGGCAGACAGCCACACCAACGACATCAACCCCTGCTGCTCCGGTTTCACAGAACAGTGGGATGTTATTTGGTGGACTAACCAGTACCCAACCAGTGACGGTGTCCGCATCATCTGCCGCCCCAATTACGCAAACTCCTTCCCCGTCTCTCTTTGGAAGCTGGACTACAACAGTCACATCCGCTCCTGCCACAAACACCACGTTCAAGTTTGGAGCAACATCAACCACAACGGCTGCCCCTACGCTGAACACCAACACCACTAATGCTAGCAGCACCACCTCTGCTTTTCAGTTCGGAGCAGCAAAGCCTGCACCTGCCCCACAGGTCCAAAGCACATTCACTTTTGGCCAGGTGTCGGCAAACCAGAACTCCACATCCACTCCGTTTGGTGGGTTTGGCATGACCAGCAGTGCCACCACATCCTCAGAGACACCCACAACACAAACCACTTTCAGAAGCTCAACCTTCACTGCATCATCAACCTTTCCAGCATCCACACAGCAGACCCCTGCTGCTGCAAAGCCCTTCACATTTGGGGCTGGCAGTGGAAGTAGCAGCACATCACCATTTGTGTTTGGAGCCGCAGCCAGCACAGCAGCGCCTGCGTTTGGGACTAACAGCCAGCCTACGTTCGGTGGAGCTGGCTTCGCTTTTGGAAACACCACCACCCCTTCTGCGGCTCCCGTCTTTGGGGCCTCCACACAGACTGTGGCCCCTCTCCCTCTCCCTGCCCCAGCTCCTACATTCACCTTCGGAGGGGCGTCAACAGCCACTCAGAACCCTGCTCCTAGTACTCCGGCGCCTCCTGCCTCTGGAGGGTTTAACTTTGGGGTGTCACTCTCAGCAACACCGTTTGGAACCCCTACACCTGCAGCTCAAACGCCAGGGTTTTCCTTTGGAGCCAACAACACCGATAACAAGCCTGGTTTTGGTAAGTCTTTTTATTGAGAAAGGTCAGGAGGTTGTATTTGACATTGAGAGATTGTAGTGGCTGATGATATATGTATATGCTCTCTCACATATCAGTATTTACCGTAAAAAAAAACAATATAACCACTATTGGTTTATATCAAGCACTAGTGTGTGTGCGCGTGCATGTTATATATATTATCTATATAGATATATGTGTATATAGATGGATGGATGGATGGATATAGATACAGGCAATTATTTTGTGAACAATTTCAGTTTAGTTGTATCAGAATATTCAAACTGCAGCAAAATGCATACACAACACAGTAAAAACTGATGAAACTACATTAATAAACTACATAATCATTGATATTTTGTAATCAAGTAACATGGTTATTTATTTATGTTTGGCTTGTATTTTGTTTGAATGCATCATGACAAGACCAGACAAAACCAGTGTGTAACGCTGCAGTTCCTGTGCCAGTTCTCTTTGGTCCTGATTATTGGGTGGCATTTACTCCTTTTCTTCCCACATTTGCTCCACCCAGCACTTACCTGTATTACCAGATTTGGTCATGCAAAAATATGTATGCTGTAAATTGTGTTCAAAATTAGCAGTAACTTCCCTTTTGTGCTCCTGATTTGTGTCTGACCAGAAGTTATGTTCTAGATAGAATATGAGTATGCTGCAAGAGCTGCTTTTTACTGCATTTCTTGCACTATTCTCCTCCATCACCATGACAGGCACAAAATGTTGCAATTTAGGCTGTTTTTGCTGCCCAGATTTACATTTAATGCCCATTACATTTATATTTATTTATTTTATATTTATTAAAATAAGCTGAAATATAAATATGAGAAACGTAAACTTATTTTCAGTTAGTTGCTGAGACAAGGTTTCGCAGTTTTTTCATAAATTAAGTACTAAAATTATTAAATGCTTGGTTTTTGTTTATTCCAATTCAGTTTTTGCCTTAGATGCTGACATGGCAATAAAAATAATTTACTACTACTAAAATGACTAAAATAAGATAAATAGAAATGATTAATAGAAAACTATTTGATTAAATTACAATTACTAAAATGTAAACTAAAAATAAAATGAAAAAGTGTGAAAATAAAAGCTAATTCAAAACCTTAAATACTACAATAGTACATAAATAATTCTAAATTACACTTTACTTAAAAAGATTCCACAACCAGTTTCACTCAAAGTATTACAGCATATTAGCACAGTGTGCAAGTGGTTAGTATTTTGTATTTAGACTTGGTTAGCAGTAAGTGGATGAGTTGTTTAACGATTTGCACTAAACCCAGTAAAGCGGTCATCTTACATTCTCCTTGTTTGTTCTGTGTTGTCTTAGGAACATCAACTCCTGCCTTTGGCCAGGCATCTGCAGGAATGTCAGTGCCATTTGGCAGCCCTGGAACCCCAGGTTTTGGAGCAGTGGGCGCCTCACCATTTGGTAAAATACAGTCACTACCGGTTTTTAAAAATAATATTATATAATAGTTCTATCCATTTTTTTCCTTTTTATAAATATATATTTTAATCCTTTTAGGTTCTTCACCAGCCACCTTCTCTATCGGAACGGGATCCAAGTCCTCTGGGGCTCGTCGATTACAAGCACGCAGACAGCACCCAAGGAAGAAGTAATGTGGCTGATGTGAGTCCTGTCCCTTTCATTATTGTCGTCTGGACTCTGCAACTACTACTCCGGCTGTCCCACCTGCCTCAGACACTGCTGCTACTGCTGCTGGTCCAAACACAACAAGGCTCTCAGCCAGACCTCATCTCTACAACCCTCCAGACTGTCAGGGCTGGTCAGGCGTGTAGGATCAAGGCTCATGGAGTGTAGATTTTAGAGTACCGGGCGGCCCCATCTCTGCGGTTTGTTGCGCCCACCGAGACTCATCACAACCTTGCTAATGGAGTCTGTAAATGTCTAATGAGGACGTCTGGTGTTGAGGAAGGATGGCGAACAGGAGCGAATTATACTTGAACGAAAAAGAGACTTTCAAATCTGGACTCAATCTGAATTCAGTCCAGGCCTGTTAAAAGAAACGGATCTTATTTTTGACTCTTTTTGTTTGAGTAATCAGATGCTCTTTATTTTAGATCCAGTGAATACACCTTTTTTCCCTTGCAAATTAGTGTAGATTTGTCATGCTTTTCCATCATGCTTAGCAGAATCTTAATTTTGTTAAGCCCTCAAAACGTGAATATTTTACCCGTTTCATTTACATTACAATTTTTTTTTTTTTTTTGCCTGAGTGAGCTGCATAATAAACAAATTTTACATCGCTTTTTCTGTAAGCAACGTTTACGTGCCTGTTTTCCTGCATTCGTTTATCATACGTTGGATGTCTGTCTGTTTAAAACCAAAGCTGATGTTTTTTTTAGTACGACACGTTGACCTCTCCGTCACACCATGCCCGTTTTACTACCTCTCCATTTTAAACGTGCATCTGTGTCCCAGCTGAGATGTTTTACTGCAGATTCGATGTACTGTTAATTATACTCTGAGTAATTAAAGTCAGCAATTAGTGCAAACATGTAGGCAAAACCACGATTCTATAGCTGTTGCATCTGCCATCAGTGTGTATTTAACTGTCAGGCACTGGATGTAGCTCTCATTTTATTTTTTATCCATTCATTGCTCTGTGTGCCTTAGTGTGTTTTGCTTCTGGTTACGTATTATGGATGATGTCAGATTTGTACTCTGAGACATGGATGCCTGTTCTTTCATAATAATGCTTAAGTGCATTTAGATGATTTCAAAAGAATATGATCTCAACTTCAATTATTTTTGATTACTGACTAAAAAGTCAAATTTCAGACTCTGTAAAAGTGCATACTTGCGTTTGAATATTCTTTGGAAATAAACATTTGACTTGAGTGATCAATTGAAATAAGTGCAAAAAAGTGCCCCCAAAATGTGAATTTCAGGAGCATAGAGGATGTGGCATTTGCTTTGCTGAATGTTTGGTTTGAAAATAATTTAGCTTATTCAGATTTGATTTAACCTATAGAGGCTTAAATGCTATTTTAAATTTTGCTTCTCTTTTTAATGTGCATGTAAACCATTACTGAATTTTTTTTAGGAATTCTATGGTTTGTGCATGCTTGTGATGTGTTTTAAAATACCAAGATATAGCAAATACTCAAGCTGCGATTGAAACGGCATGTCTTTAGAACGTTCCTGAATCAGCATCTGTTGGGAAATGCAGTCAAGGCATTATGTAGACCGCCAATACCCGAAGATTTTAAGTCTTAACATGTTCTCAGGTCTGATAAGTGAAAGAGCGGTGTATGATGTGTTTTCAGTCAATATACAATGTTGTATATCCACAAAACACTGGATTTAATTAGTACTTCAATGCACAAATATGGAAGCACAAACATGCCATTGTTTTTTTGTTTTTTTTACCCCCTCATATTCTTTGACCTGCAAAATCCACTGAATTGGGGACAGCAAATATTTTTACAGTGATGTAGCCATCTCTGTCCCCCTTGCATGACATTTCTCATTTAGGTCTTAACAAGATAATTTGATTGTAATTAATCACATTTTCAAAGTATCCTCATGCCCAGACTGATGCAAGGAGGCATGAGCCCAGGCTTTCTGTTTATTAGAAAGCCGTACCAAATACAAGCGAGTTGTGTAGACTATTGAGAAAATGAGATGTTGAGATGAGAGCTGGATTTCTCAAGCTGTGAATGTTTGAGAGCAGTTGTACCTAGTTGTATGTTTTTCAGACGTTGCTGTTAGTGAATGCTCAGTTAGTGTGTAAATGACCATTCCCACTAACCCTCAAAGCGTGAATGGAGTTCTGAATGAAGCGGCACACGGATTGTGTTGTGTCTGCTTAAATGCTCTGATAATGACATGCTGGTTTCCAATAAAAATGTAAAGTTGACTTGCTGTGGATCTTAATTATGCTCATCAGTGGCGTTCAATGCATGACAGACAACTCACATTTCTAAATAATGAATCTGAGGTCTGGCTTAATACAATATATCATTCATCACATTTCAATAAAAGCAGGAGTCAGTGTGTCAGTGGTGGGTTAGCTGAGAAGAGATGATTTTCAAGTACAACTTCAGGGTTCTTGCTTTTTGGGGGGTTTTCTGTTTCTCTTCCTTTTCTTCTTTGAGCTTGGATTTGTCAGTTGATTGATTGCAGTCTCTGTGTTCTCTTGTTCCTCATCAGATGGACCAGATTGATGTGTGTCCTGCTTTTCCTCACACCCAGACTGCAATGTTGTGCTGTGACGATAACAAAACCATGTTATAAATAGTTAACCAAAAATAAATGAAATGTTAAAAATCTGGTATTAAAATATGTAATATTTAGGACCATATTTTAATTGTAACATTTTCAGGACAATTCAGAAATTCTTATGTAATGTGAAAAAAGACATTATTTAAATACTAGTAATAGATATTATATATAAGGGTCAGTAAGATTTTAAGAATTTAAGCACAACTGTTTTCAACACTACCAGAATCAGAATATTAGAATGATTTCTAAAGGATCATGTGACACTGAAGACTAGAGTAATGATGCTGAAAATTCAGCTTTGCGTCACAAGAATAAATTACATTTTAAAATATATTCACATAGAAAACAGTTATTTTATATATTACTAATATTTCACAATATTACTGTTTTACTGTATTTTTGATCAAATAAATGCAGCCTTAGCAAACATAAGAGACCTAAATCATTTTCAAAAAATGTGTATTTATTCATTCATTATGTCATGATAGTACTGCCTTTAATTTATGCTGATATAATTAAAAACAATTTGCATCTGAACAGCATGGTTCTCATATCCCTGTATTAAAGTAATGGGTATTCAATTAGAATCACAACTGCTCTCGAGTTGGAATCACAAATGCTCTTTTGTTTCTTTTTATTATTGGGTGAAATGAGCTATACGTTTCAGTTGCTCAAGGCAAAGGTATTTCCTTTTTTTAAACTTTAGTAGCATATCACAGGTTTAAAAAAAAAAAAAGTCTTTAAGATATATAACTAGACACCTCACACACAGTAGTAGTCATCAGACTTACATGATCGGGAGGTTTTCCTCATCTGTCTGCGGGGGGCGTCTCTCCAGCATGGCCACAAAGAACCCATGAGTGCGTGTTTTTGCTGTGCTGGCACGAAGGCACTGGGTGAAAGGCTCATGACCCCTCTCAGGCCAGTTTGGAAGAAGATGGACTACTCTACAAGCAAAGCCGGACGAAAAAATTTTCAGATAATGTCCTCATATTGTGAAACAAATATGAAATGATTTTTCTCTCCAGGTTTCTGACCTGAATCCAGGGTTCTGCTGTAAGCAGGCCGACACAACCTCCTCGTTCTCCTGCGAGTGAATGGAGCAGGTGGAATAGACGACGCGCTGTACCTGAGGGAACTGCAGTGCGCGGTTGAGACAGCGCAGCTGAAATGTAGCCAGCGCCTGCAGACGCCTGTCATCCTGCGGCTCTGAGACCTCATCCCGTAGACAAACCATCCCTGAGACAGACAAGCACACGTCTACATGACCATATCTAAAAACACACTAAATGCCCTTGAGACGTCAAGACAAAATATGTATTGCTGATGCAATGATTCCTTAATACACAACAATTACCTGATCCACTGCAGGACGGGTCCAGAAGGACGTTCTCGACTTCCTTGTACTCTGAGCTCTGTGGATCTACTTTCAGAAAATCCTGATTGGCCAGCTGATGACATGTGACCCCGGCACGAAGGAGAAGAGTGCTCATGGTGGACAGACGTTTGGCATCAAGATCAAATGCAAACAACTTCCTGAAATTATTCAATTAAAATAAAACATATATTATATAATTAAAATTTTAATAAATGTATATATTATAACTATGTATATATTAGATATATTATGTGTGTGTGTGTGTGTGTGTATATATATATATATATTAACGAAAGTCAATATTATATACAGATTAGATTTTATTTTATATATGCATATATGAATATTAATTACAAAAAAAAAATTATCTTCATTTTAAGAATGTATAAATTAAATAACAAAACATTAATATTGTGTATATATTAGGGATGCACGATATTATCGGACTGCTATCGGAATCGGCCGATAATGACTTTAAAAGTAAATATCGGCATTGGCCCGATATGAAAAATTATGTCGATGTCTTGCCGATAAGAGGAATGCGTTAACTCTCATGTGCTCAGGGTGTGCTAGTGGTTAGATCATGTCAGCAGTGTGGCTCATTCTTGAAGCAAAGTTTTGTCTGAATGATTATTAGATTGACTGTTTGGATCCCTGCATTTAATCTGTGAAAGCACGTACAGAATGACACGTTTGGTGTATGATAGAGTAAACAGTAATAGCATGTGCAGCAGCAGCAGCAGCATTGACAGCCTCCCCCAGGGCCTAATGCCCGTTCGGTAAGGAGTTTTAATCTGTAGGGGGCGCGACACGACTAGAAATCAGTGGTTAAGTTGTATTTACAACACTGTTCCAGAACACTTCACCCTGAGCACATAAGAGGAATGCGTTAACTCTCATGTGCTCAGGGTGTGCTAGTGGTTAGATCATGTCAGCAGTGTGGCTCATTCTTGAAGCAAAGTTTTGTCTGAATGATTATTAGATTGACTGTTTGGATCCCTGCATTTAATCTGTGAAAGCACGTACAGAATGACACGTTTGGTGTATGACAGAGTAAACAGTAATAGCATGTGCAGCAGCAGCAGCAGCATTGACATTGACAGCCTCCCCCAGGTCCTAACGCCCGCTCAGTAAGGAGTTTTAATCTGTAGGGGGCGCTGTTGGCCTACTTCTAATTAAATTAAAAGTAAAATAG